AACTATCGATGTTTTTTTTTAAACCGCTTTAATAACTATTAATATTCATGGAGGGAATAATTTGACTGGTGGCGTTTATTAATATTTAATTGACCTTTGTCTGACAAAATAATCAAAAACTTCAAATTCAAACAAAGTCTGACAAAATAATTCAAAAATACAGACATCATTTACACGCGAAAACTCTTATTTATTTTTCACTTTGGTCTGGAGAATGTCCAGTTTAGGAAATCTCAAAAAGTTTTTATTACGATTGTTTTGTTTTTTTATTCAATAATAAAATATCAACAATTTAAAAACATCGGCTTCAAAATATCGATGTGAAATGTATTGATGATGTATAAAAACTTTGATGACTTAAAAACTTCTATGTGAAATACATTGATAATTTATAAAAACTTTGATGTTCTGAAAACTTCTATCTGAAATGCATGGATGATTATTAAAACGTCGATGTTTTCAAAGCATCTATAACTATGTCGCATACCTAGTTGTGCATGTTTAACGCAGCCCGCAATGCACATAGGTGGGGCGGGTGGGCGTCTGTGAATAATATGGGGGACTGTGAATAATATTTCTTCCATTTTACGCTAGAGATAGTGGCGAATTCTTTTCTCGATTAACAGGCGATGTGGCAAAAGAGATCCCGAGGCTCCTCCACGACGCGGCGAAGAGCCACGTGCGTGTGGGTAGTGGAGCAAGTTCATAGTGGCTCGCGAAATATCACTGAATGTTCATGTAGATATTTTAACTTCAGTTACGTTTTGATACCGAAATACAACAACCCTAACACACGGGACAGATGGAGGAGTGGGAATGGACACTTCCGACATATTCGAAGTCAATTAGTCTCCTTACTCCGTGTCTAGAATTTTAAGTGATAAGTCATATTTTTAATTTAAGAAACTAGCTTTTTGGTTATTGTAAATAGGGGGGGGGAAGAGTTGAAGAGAGCCGATTCTAGGTTCATGAGATAAAAAGAAGAGAATAACAAAAAAAGAGAATTCACCTCCCGACTTGGTGAAAGATGAAAAATTATTTCAGTACTTTAGGATGTGTTATGATAAATTTGTAGCTCAATTGGATATTTTAAAAACTATATATAAATATTTTGGTAAATATTGTAAGTGTATACCATCAGATTGAACTAGAGGAGAATCGTAATTGCATTAATTTATTTGGAAACTTGAGAAAATAGTCGGCACTGACAAAGGAAAATAATGGACGCAAATAAAACCCAAAATAATTCACATTGATTCGTAAATCAATTTATCATTCCAAAATATGCCGCCGAGCACAATGTACCCAGTTTCGCTAAAATTGCACAGCTTATTATACAGAGTATTTTTAATATGGGAATTATTGCTCCTAGTGTGCTAACAAAATTTCACTTCCGAGAGTCATGTAGTTATATTAAGTAAAACTTATTATCATGTTGTACATTTTGGATCTCACAATTAAATTTTATCCTTATTTGCTTCACTAAAGCAGCGGAATGGTCGCTCCTACGTGATGCACGTGCCGATGACATGTGTACGGAAGGAACGGCAAGTGCCGGGATATCCAGAAGATCTTTCCTTCGGACTTTTTGCAAACGGCTGAAGATGCAGGTCGTTCCGTCAAGACCGTGCTCCCGCCCTTATGGAAAACAACGTAATTAACTTCTCCAAAACCCCGTCCGTTCATATCGTACCCACCCAGTGCGCACTAGGTGTTAGGTGTTTTTGTTTTTTAGATACAGCGGTTTGCATAACCCCAAACGGGGCACCCATGCAGTACGACTGTAAAATATTGGCAACTGAGACGTACAACAGTATTTTATTGTTATGGTAGCATTAGTGAACCTGGGGAAGCCGCCCACACGAGGGGAGGAGGCAGTTACGTGACCCGAGTATGCCTCAACACAGCAGGTTCATCGTTCAGCCACTGCGCCAAGAAGAGAAAGTGTGTTTTCTTCAGTGATAGGCGCGAGACTGCCGCAGCGCTGCCCTTGTGTACCGATGGGCATTTAATTTATTGACACATGGCATTTACCGTGCTTTTAATTGTAATCTTATAAAAAATTAGTGCGTGAAAAGTGAATTTCCTGCAACAAAAGTTAATATACACTCACCCGATGAAAAAGTCGTAAAATCTTATATTGGCAATCCTCAGTCCTTTATTTTATCATAGTTACCATAGAGCGGAGCGGGAAAGTTGCTTATCTTTATTGTATTTAATGAATTCTGTGACCTTTTGCCAAAATTGTGATAGTTACTCCTATTTAAGAATACTATCACGTATTCAATAATTGTTACAGTGAAACCTCTCTGAAAGACCACCCCTATCAACGACCAATTTTTCTCGGGACACGGAAATCCATGTTTTATATGCAAATTATATTCCTGTTATCAGACCTTCCCACTGCTCGACCACCAACCGACGACCAGGAACCTTTAATAGCAATTTTCTTAATTTACCCTTTTTAAGAGACCACTTCCAGGAAATGTAAGTGTACAGTACAACGAATTTTCAGTATATAAAAATGAAAGTTGACGAAAGAAAACATTCGCGCGATATGTCCTGTGCCTCAGATTCATTCACGACTAAACCGGAGGGCGGGAGGATACCGGGATGGAAGTAAACGAGGCCGTATGAAATCACGGCTTCTCGCTTCATTGTAGTTTCGTTTTTTTAAGCCTGTTTTACGCGATCATTTTTTCATCATTTTTCGCTGGTTCAGAAAAGAGACAGTCCAGACGGGATGTAATTTGTACGAAAAAATGACGCATGCTTGATTTTTTAGTCCTAATATAACATAACTTAAATGTTACCATAGATGCGATGTTCAAATGTTTGATCTTCAGCGCTGTTTGTGGCGTCCAGAGGACGTATTTTCATCACGATTACGTTGAAAGACTAGAAATTATCATATAAAACGCTGGAATGACTTTCATCCAGTTTCGGCGCGTAGAAACGAACGTCCTTTTTCCATCCACTTTCTGTACAGAAAAATGATGAAAAAAGGATGCAAAAATGACCGTGTAAACCAGGCTTTAATGAGTCGGCAATGTGAATGTGACCTAACGGTTAATTCTTTGAATGAACAGAGCCCAATTTGCACTTTGCTGGACGAATACCAACCCTACCTTACCTTCCTGGAATAACATCTGGTGCGGTGGAATACATGTCGGAAGTCAGGGTTATCGACTTGCTCCGTAACACACGAGTCTTTTACCTAAAAAAGCCCCAATTTTTTTCTTAAAATTCTTGCGTTTTTGAAAATTGCAAAAACATTAACACGGTAACTACAGATATAAGAAAGATTTTCCGCTTAATAAAATTTGTTTAAAAAGTCAATCTTGTAAAAAGGTCGTGCACAGTTTTTATTATAAATAGTATTCGTGTAATTTCTTCTTGAAGTTAATACGATTTATAAAAAAAAAAACATTTTTTCACGGATGGAACAAGCGACGCAAGAAAGAGTGGTGAGTGTTTTTTGTTGAACTCTCAGAATTTTCGAAAATTGCGAAGTTAGAAATAATGCGAGAACATATGTGCTGATATGGCTCCTAGTTTCCATTTGAGTTCATGTATCTTGAGATAATTGATACTGATTTGACTTCCTTCCTTCTGGCAATAATTTCATGTTGTGACAGAAACAACTCTCCTTGGATTGTGTTGCCGTAAGTTCAAAATCGAACTTTTTCTAAGAAATGAAACTACTTGAAACGGTTGTACGTTCATCACATTTGAGAGTAAAACTAGGAGATTATTCTATGCTTTCCTTACGCTGTTCAATATCAAGGCATTTTCCCTACTATCACCTGCAGTGTTGTTTGATTATGAAGTATCATGTATTTCGTATGTAGCTTCGTTGCTTAAAACTTTTTACTGGATTTCAAAACATGGTTTAATTTAAATCTCACGGGATGTATGGGAACTATCGATAGAAAATATAATTGTCTAAAAGGGAAATATTGCAAATGTTTCATGCGCATATTATTAATATATATTTTTATTTGTTATATTTCTCAAAGGTACAAGGAACAGAAAGACGAGCTGCTGTTAGTTCGTGTGTTCAGTTTTTAGTGTCATTTGGTTTTTTTTAATTTGCTTTTTGTTCCAGCCAGGGTCACTGTGTCACTAGTATCTGTCCAAGAAATAAAGATTTTTCTTAATGTCTGTGGCCTTTTGGGGCCTAGCTATCGTAAGCAGTAAATAAATGAAAACTGCGCTAGCGAAGTTTCAGGACTTGACAAGTTTTGAAAACTTATTTGTTGTGGGCGGTTGTCAACAGGTTTGTCGAAATATACGCCTTCCTACAATGTTATGTTTGTTATCGTTGGTGGTGCAGGCGTTCCATCCGAGTGAGCGTCTTGCGCATTGCAACGCGTGGTGCGGGGCGATGAAGGCAGGAAGGCGCGTGCTGTGACGGTGGCTGGAGGGGGTGGGGGCAGGTGGCGCGGCGCATTGGTTATGCGTGAGCGGGCGAGGGCGAGGGGCCGGCCGCCGCCGCCGCCGCCGCCGCCGCCGCCGCCGCCGCCGCCGATTAATTAGGGCGCGAGCGGAAGAGAGGGGGTACGGGACGGGCTGCGCCTCGTTTGAATTGGGCGGGAACTGAAGGGAACGCACTGCCTTGTGCTGGCCGCGTCGCGTCGCGTCGCCTTCGCTCTGCGCACAGCCGTCGCCTCGGCGCGTTTTTGCTCGCTTCTTTTCATCCTCATATTAGATGTATCGTTTTGTTTACACTGACGAAAGTATTTGATAAGGATGGTTAGGGAGAATTTTAAAAGAATTACATACAGCTTTTAATTTATGTGTTTGGTTCATTTATGGAAAAATGTAATTTGGAATTGTTTTCTTAAAAATAACATTTACACTGAAGCTCCTGTGACATTGTGTGGTTATTCAACATGATTATTGCGTGTACGAGTCTGTTTCACCTGTGATTTATTGTGTATGTTGAGGATGAAAACGTGAAATAAATATTATTTAGTGCATGAATTCTTTGCTTGCAGATGTCAAATGCATCGAGTCGTGGTTTATGCAATATGCGGGTATCAACATCGCCAACGCCTTATGGGAATTTGGGTAGAGGTAGTGCACAAACTTCTTGTGCTCAAAATCACTCAAATAGTGATGACTCTGATGCTGAAGATGATGAGGAACGAGTGGAAGATATCTCACAGCTGGCCCAAGAGTTAGGGGATATGGAACAAGAAAATATGGCCATATCAGAGCATTTGCAGGTAATGTTTATCAACATTTGTTCATTTCTTTCCCTTTAAATTGTCATTATGTAATTGTGATTTCTGATTTATCCACATATTACTTTTCTTTATGACTTGCAGGAAATAAACCAAGAAGATCTGGCTGCCATTCTACCTGATGTAGTGACAACTGACAACAATGGGGATGAAGGAGGACCACCGTTTGATGGATTTGAAGACATGAGTTCTGAAAGTGGAAAAGTTACTGCAGAAAACAACACTTCTTGTAATCAGCATGGTGGGACTGAATCTAGCAGCGACATGGAGTTGCCAGAGCAAGTTGTCAGTGAGGCTATCAAGAGGATTCATATAGACAGTGAAGATGTTGAGGAGGCCAGAGGAGATTCATCTTCTGGGGACTCTAGTGAGGAGGAAGGTGTTGGAGAAATAGTACCAGGGCCAGGTTATTCTTCAAACCTGCTGCAACAATTTGTTGAAAAGACAGAAATGCTTTCTTCTCAGTCTAGTTGCTCACAAGATCCAGGGAAGGTAAGTTCTGTGTCCCGAGTTAAAAGAGAAGAACCTCGAAGGAAAAAAAGAGGAAGACCTCCAAAAGTTTCTGGCAAAACCACAGATGAAGTTCCTGAAAATTCGAATCATCCAGAAGGGTCAAGTTCTTCAGTGAAGTGTATGCCTGAACTTGAAGCTTACATGCGACTTGATTGTTCGGTTTCGAATGTTTCTCCAGACAGTGGAATTCAATCTGTAGCTGGATCACCGGTACATCAGGCTTGTTCACCTGCTTCACATACTGCTGTTCACTCACCCAGCTTATCTGCTCATAAAGCGGTTTCTCCTGTTTCTAGTCCCCACAGCCTGAGGGAGGCGACTCCACCTCCTCCACAGCTGTTCCCTGGGGAGGAGAAACAGGAGCCTGCCAAGCGAGGCCCTGGACGACCACCCAGGGGCTCTAAATGCCAGGCAGATCGGAGAGGGCCAGGCAGACCAAAGGGTTCTGGCAAGAAAGCAAAATGTGAACAAGTTTCTGCTACAACTACCAAGAATGATCCTGGTAGTGATAATGGGGGAACGGTGGCAGCTATTAGTGGAACTGACAGCTGCGATGAAATTCCTCCAACTCCCTCTCCTGTCCCTATAGCCCCTGTTAAAAGAGGGCCAGGCAGGCCTAAAAAAGCTCCCCCGGTCCTTGAGCCAAATCTTCCTTTACCTGTACCCGAACAAAAGAAAAGGGACACTGAGAGTAAAATATCTGCAAGGAAAAAGTCAAATGTAGTTAAGGGCAGTGAAGAACCTCCAGTTTCAGAAACAAGACTTTACGGTAGTGGCGTACTTTCTGATGTGCCATTGACCAAGACGCCATATAAAAGTAGTGTTATTCTTAGTGACATTTGTGAGAGGGTAAGTAAGCGACTGGACCAATCAATTAATTTGTTGCCTACCACAGATATTAAAAGATTACCAACCAAATGCTCAAAATCCAAATCTAACAAAGAACATTTTTATAAAAAAAGTGAATTATCTCCAGAAGTGAAGGCTAATAAAGGAAGGAAGAGAAGAGAGAAGGATGAAAATGGATGTTCAGGCCCCATGCCAGCACAAAGGCAGAGGCCCCAAGCAGCAGCAGCATCTGCAGCAGCTGGAGCTTCTGTTGCAGCAACTCGCAAACCTGTCCTCCAGCACCTCCCTAGAATGTTAGCATTACCTTCTGGAATCTCTCATCATAAGCACAAAAAGCGGAAAAAGAGGATTAAATTACCAAGACAAGAGAAAGTTATAATTGATCCCACTTTCCTCTCTGAGTTAGAGAAATTAACCCAGGAATTTTCTCGATGTTGTACAATTACTAAGGGTGGTGCAGGAGTTCCTTCAAGTAAAAGTGGGGAAGTGGCCCTACCCTCTATATTCAGAGTGAAGAGAATTGTAAAGAAGAGGAAAGGCAGTGAAAAGTCTAGAGCTAGTGACAGAGAATCGGGTACAGAAGGTGACGGAGGGAAGGAAAAAAGTCGTCAACGCAGACCAAAGAAGAGCGCAGTTGAAGTTCCAAAGGTATGTAGTAAGGTATGTGCTGGCAAAATTCACAATTATAATGCTTGAAAATGGTTGTTGCATTTAATTTCATAAACATGTAATATTTTTTTTCTTATTGGAGAAAGATTACCAGGCAAAAGATTTTGTAGTCATCAATGTTAAAATGTTCTGTAGAAACTGCTGTTTAAAAAATTTTCAATCTTGTGATGTGACATTCAGAATTCATTGAAATTGAATTTTGAGGACATTCTCCTTAAAAGGTTGATTTGTGTGATTTTGTCTTAGATTGAATTCCTTTTAATAACATATTTCATAAAAGCATTAATAGTGATGGAATCAATTGTGCTAATTGTATAAATCGCAGTAAAAATCAGGAGCTTTGAGGTTGAAGGAAAGGAGTCCCAAGGTGATTTATAGACAGACACAACTCTTCTCAATTTAGTTTTATTACATCTCTATGTTACAATTACTCGAATGCGTAACAGTTTCAGGGACATATTTTCCCCATCCTCAGGCAAACGAGTCAGGAGTTCATATCACACATTATCAATTAAACACCATCCACTAGCTACTGGACGTACCATCACGGTCAGACGAGGTGTAGTGCTTGCCCTGAAACTGTTGCGCATTCGAGTAATTGTAACATAGAGATGTAATAAAACTAAATTGAGAAGAGTCCTGTCTGTCTATAAATCATCTTGGGACTTCTTTCCTCAAATTTACAAGAGAGGCTTATTCCTACCTTTGCTAAAATCAGGAACACTTGGTGCACATGTGTGTCTGTTTGCCACTCCCTCTCTCTCTCTCTCTCTCACCCCACACACAAACACACTAATCAGTTACACATCACAACCTTTCATGTAATTCTGTGGTCTTCCGGTAATTGTGTTGTTATTAAATTGTAATGTCCTCTGAGGATTATAAAAGAACTTTCTTCTTCTAAAAATCTTTTCGGCAGTTCCGCTGTTTTTCCATTTAAGTTTTGTTGGTTCTAATTTTTCTACAACAGTTATTTTCACTTGTATTTCATAATGTAAATCTGTTCTGTGTTATTGCAGCCATGAAATTTGAATTCTTGGGGACTTTTTCAATTTTAGTTAGTTCTTGACGTTGAGTGATTGACAAAATTAAGAATCCTTTCAGTCAATTTGGATTGTTCATTTGGAGTAAAGGACCATAAAATTTCAATTGTTGGTTTGTTGCAGAGTTTCGTGTTTATTGATATAATTCTTGTTTTTTCCTTTTCATCTAAATCTTCTCATTGCAAACTGAGTTTAAAATTTTCTATATTATTTACCTTTGTTGCGTTTCTGTGTTTTCAATAAGTGAGGCATCTCTAATAAGGTTTTACTGGTGATAACAATGCCCCCTATTTTTAATACAGTGAAACCTCTAATAAGTGCTCAGGGTTTTTCCGTGAAAATGTGGACTTTGAGAGCAGTAGTTGCCTAAAAGGGGGAGGGTTTGACAAAATGTTATCTGTAACTATTAAATAAATGAACTTGAGGTACTTTGTAATAATTTGGTTTGAAACTTTCTTTCTGCATGATTAATTCAAAAATTGACATCTTCATTTTGTAAACCATCTTCTTGTCCAAAAGTCCATTTATATATTTAGTTCTTATTATTCACTGCTGCTACATAAAGTCTGATATTCAACTCTCTTGCTTAATAATATAATTCTCTGGGAAATCTGCCAGATTAAAAGCATTGTAAGAACTGAGAAGCAAACTTCTCCCCAGTCTGGAGTGATCCATGCATACCTATGGATCAGTACTTTGTCAGTTATGCTGCACGAGTCAATCATCCATATGAGCAATCACAGCCATTCTGTAAAAATAGGCCCTGTCATCGTATCTATTTGCACAGTACTCAAGACCACCAAACTTTGTAAAATCTGTTGTTGTTTTTTTTATAAGCATCTTTGCAAAACCGGTAAGAGGTGCCTTTTTTCACAGATTCTGTTAATACTGAAAGACGGTTAATTGCTCTTTCTGCCAGCAGATTGTTCTGATTTTAGAATTGAAGATTTAAATGGTGAAACCCTGAAAAACAATCCAATCTCAAAGTTGTATTTATTTTTCATATCATACCTTTCAAAAATTGAAGGGAGGTAATCTTTTCAGTATTCATATGGTACTTTGCTTACATTACCTGCTTCACTACTGATTGACTGGAAATCAAAATTTTTTACACATACAATTTTTTATCCCTGCCATTTGTAGCTCCAAAACCTGAAACGCAAAGTGGAGCAGAAATTTCTAATGCCTTTTTTATTAGATAGGCATGTTCTTTAATTTCATCCTAGTAATAATGTGTTCACATCACCATGCTTCTTAATACTTTCTCTTCATGCCATGATAACATAGGAATTTTACTCGAGAATATTTTATCTCATTTTCAAAACATTCATGGCATGAAATGAGTGTTTTAGAAATTCTTCTTCTTCTCCTTTTTCTTCTCTTTCTTCTCCTTTTTTTACTTCTTCGTCTCTTTCTTCTCCTTCTTTCTTCTTCTCTCTCTTCTTTCTTTTTCTTCTTTTCCTTCTCTTTCTTTTCTTTATTCTTTTCTTTCTCTGTCTCCTTCCAGTTGAATCTGACTTGTTGTGTACTGGATTTCTTCTATCTCAAAGGTGATGAGATTGTGTTGCTCAAACAGTGCTGGCCAGGTAGTCACTGCTCTGTTTTCAGAGGTCACATTTTTTGGTTTCCAAAGCTTCTCTATTCTCTTTGGCAAAGGTTGGCTTATGAAAATATCCTCATGACTGCTCTGTGTTTGTCTTTCCTTCACTTCTACCTTTCTCTTGGTATTTTTGCAGTCCTCAATCATGGTTATCCCACCACATATCCAATTTTATCCATCCCTGAATGTATGTATTCCTTGTAATTTAGTGGATCGGAGTATTAGCTGCATTACCCAGCATTGCCAGAGCATTTTAGTTATCAGTTTCATTTATTAGACAGGAAAAGGAATTGTCACTAATTCTCTTTTTATTTGTTTTAATATCTATAAATATACTGAGCCCCGTGTGTTGGACGAGTCATCTGAAATATATTCAAATTCTCTGGGATATTCCCCACTTCTCTTTGTAATGTGAACAATGTTACTTTATTTATGTAACTAGCAAATGTCCAAGATTTCGCCTGCCCTGGCTTGCTCAGTAATTACTTCTATTATTTAGCAAGGGGATTGTTGCGGGTCACAGAAATATTAGTATCATGGGTCGACAGACTTGTCCATATGGAACTGCAAGGATGAAAGTTTTTACGTAAGGAATTTGTTTTTTCTTGTCCAATTAAATTACTAGAATTATAAAAATAAAAACATGTATTTTTCTTTGAAACATAATTCCTGTTTCTTACCTGCTCTTACAAACCTTCAACCCTCGCTGTAACCATTAAATTATCAAACAAATAACCAATGAAAAGAAGACATAAATATTATCATAATCGATTCATCACATTTGTACAATATTTACAACATACACATTCTCTAATTATTTCATTCATACATGGCCATGTTCCCCTTCTTATTCTTATTACCTAATCTTAACCTAAAACTATCAACATGACTTGATCTACATACATATTAACTAGAGATTACTAGTTTATCACTTCCCTTTGGGTCCTCTGCATGGTTGTAAGGCAATTGTCATTACTTTATATCCTGACGTCAGCGATGCCACACCAATTGCCACTGAATCCTGTTCTGTTTCGTTTATGTTCTAATTTCAAATAATCTTTCTAAATTTCTTTGCACTTGAATTACGTTTATTTCAGTTACAGTATTAAATGCCCTATCACTATCTTTAGCAATTTAACCGGGCAACTAATAAATCAATCTATACATGATCCATACGGCACGTTCTCCTCGGTCACAGCTCACCACATTCCATCCTCTACCAAAACACAAATCGTTCTATCTGGCAAGTTATAACCCCCACCTTTCAATTCTCTTCCTCTATGCCCGGTTGCATCTAAAAAAATTTTTCTTCTTGGTTCTTTTTGCGCATCCCCCTTTCATCATCTAACTTTGGTGTTCCTCCTAATTGGCTAACTACGTGTTTAAATATTACGGTATTTACTCTTTGACATCGGGATCCTTTTCATATTAATTAATTATACTTATACAAAAATTCCTCACATGACCCTAACTAAAATTGATACAAAAATTAACACTTTATTTTCTGTTGTTTTTGTTTTAATAATTACTTCCTATTATTCTTTCTTGGTTTATATTTTCAATTGTTAATATCAACATCTATTGTTGAGTTAGTGATCTATTGTTTTATTAAACTTTCTATGATGGATTATTATCAATCTCCCAAGATGATCTATCACACTATCTTAGTGTAAAAAGGAAGCGTTCAAAACATTGTTATCAATTATGGTAGATTTCCCAAGGTTTTTGAGATATTTGTGAAAAACTCACAGAAAGCACACTTAAATTGCAGTGTAAGAGGATGGGGAACAGCGATGGTATAGATTTTACAAAATCTTATTTAAACAAAAATTTTTCTCTTGTTGTGAAGGTCACAGGTATAGAATTTCATAAAAATTGGAATCAAACTAGATTAGTAAGAAAAAACAAAACATATCTCTTTTTTATATAATAAAAAATGATAATAAAAATATGTACACAATTTAATTATGTACTTAAGTACATTATGTACACAAGAATACTTTATGTATTTCAGTGAAAAGTTCATAGAAATTGATTAAGCCTTTCCCGAAATTAGTCTGGACTTCTAGGTAGGCAAAAAATGTAAAAACAATCAAATACTTTTTTATACCATGAAAATAACTAAATAAGCCTAAAAGAAGACAGTCATTATGAAATCATCAACCCGCTTAGTTTGTTCAGTAGATACAGGAGATAAAAAATTAGCCTTTTTCTTAGAAATTACTTCACTTTCAGAGAAAGTCCCATTGACTTTGATTCAGTAGTTTTTAAGATTTGCTTAGACAAAGTTGGATAGGCACAAAAGTAGTAAAACTTGTGTTTTTTATATCAGGTAAATAACTATATGATTAAATAACACATACTTTTGAAATCAGATACGAACATTTCAATGTTATTTCTGTAAATTAGTTGATATGAAATCATTGTATGGTAATCTGACATAAAATATTCTTTTTTATTTGCTTTTTGTATAATGAATATATCCAAAAGGTCAAATTCTCATTATGTATTGATCTTAACATTTATTTGGTAGTGATGATCCCTACTTTGATTTAATCACTGTTTGATACCTTATTGTTTGTTTCTAGGGTCATGATCGATCAGAAGCTGCAAGTAATGAACAGCGACTTCCATTAAAAAAACGTCATTATCACATATCAACAGCAGCTAGTCTTTTGACTTCTAATTCTGTCTGCGATGCTCCTAGAACTGAACTATCATCAGACACCATCAAGAAGGCAAATAGTGTGGATCGGGTTTCTTGTGTTGATAAGGAAAAAATTGGTGATAAACTTTGTGGGACAAATACATCTGGACCTGGAAATAAGAACCAGTCAAAACCAAGTGAAAAAGCCCTAATTACTTCAAAAGAAAAGCCTAGTGATAAAAGTAGCTGTTTAAACAACGTAAGTAAAGGTACTGTTACTGATGTGAAATCAAGAAATACATCAGATCCACCTAGAGATTCCATCGATGAAGCTATTGAAGCTTGTATAACCCGTTATACAACAATATCTCCTCTAGAAAAAGGTCCCTCTTCTACAAGATCGGTTATTGTTACTCCTAAAAAGCGGCATAGGTTAGAAAATGTAAATGCATTTAGTCACAGGACATCATGTATTGCTGCTTGTAAAGGAAAAGATAATTCATCTGAAGGTGGAAATACATCAAATAGTAACAGTAACAATAATATCAAAAGTGTGGTACCTCTGAACAGTTCACCTCCACCTGGCAAAAGAGCTGGTTCTAGGAGTGCTAGTTTGAATTCTCCTTCAACAAATTCAACAAATATGTGTTTGACATTATCTCCTGTTCCCATGCCTGATATAAAGACAATTACTGTTGCATTGGATACATCACCAAAGTCTTTGGATATTGAATCTTCCCTCTCAGCCAGTCCTGTTGTTAAACCAGCATCACCCTCCACACCTAAAATCTGTTCATCTCCTAACAAAGTCACAACTCCGAATAAGTTAAATTCTCCTTGTACGAAGACCGTCACAGCAAGTAAATTGTCTTCTCCTATTTTATCAAAGACACCTACAAGCAAAACTTCACCTCTTCCAAATAAAGTGAATCAAAGTCATAATAAATTATCACCCAATTCTAAATCACCTGTAAGTAAGAATCTGATTCCAGGCTGTAAAGGAACTGTTCCATTGGAGAAATCTTCAGGTAATAATAAACAAGGAGTGTCTGGCAGGACTTCAGGAAATAAAGTTACATCTCCCAATAAAGCTAAAGTGTCGTCGAAGAAAGTTACAGTGCCACACAGTAGAATTATTTCACACCGAAGAAGTCCAAGTGTTTTATCTAAAACTTCCACCACCAGCAAGAACAGTCTCTCAAAACCTCTTGCTCTTTCTTCAAAACTTAATACTTTGGCTGATTCTGTCAGTGATGTGTCTTCTGCCTTACATAATTTAAGAGGAAAGCGATCAAATGGGTCTGTTGAGAGGGGTGACTTCAGTTTAAAACGCAGTGTGAATAAAAAGAAAAAATTGATTCGTGATGTTCGGGTTCATGTTACAAAATTAACACCAATGGATCTCTTGAAAAAGGCTGTTGGTGCTGTCAAAGAGAGAGCTCGACGGAAAAAAAGTATAAATAGGACTGGTTTCCCCATTAAGAAGAAGAAGAAAAAACGGTCACCCATTCTTGATCACCTTGAAAATCATTCAAACAGTGCTAGTTTGTCTAACCCTGATTTGGAAAAGATTGCCTCTGCATCCCCTAATGAATCTTCATCAAACATAGAATCTTTCCCTAAAGTGATTTCTACTAGGGCAAGTGATCCATCTGATAATATTGAGCCTATGCCTGAAACTGAGGGTAAAAGTAATTGCAAGAGTGACCAAACACCAGAAAATTCTTCGAAATCAAGGGGTCGTAAAGCACAGAATCTGAAAGAAGAATCTTCATCTCCAAGTGATATAAAAATCAAAGAAAAACGTGATAGGTCTGGCAGTTCAACATATGAGCAAAATCGAAGGGAGGATGATGATACAGATACTGAATCTGATGCTTTGGAATCTAGGCCTCTTGGCACCTACAAGAAGTACAGAGGACATCTCACCGAGGACAGAACTGATGAAGAAATGAGCATTGATACTACTGAGGAATCTAGCACTCTGCCCATGCTAGAAAACAAAGTAAAAGGAAAGAGAAAGAGAGATTCTTCTCATGATGAATTTAGCCAAGCTCAGTTACTTACAAAAAGATTGAAGAAATGCCGTGATGATGATACAGATAAAGATGACGTGTAAGTATTGGTTTTTGCTTACATATGATTTCTTGCTTTGATTACATTATTTGTAGCACTATAATTCATTGTATTGCTTGAAATATACATTCAGGTTTTTATACATTGCTATATGAATGAAAAAAACATTAAATTTTCTCGGATGGATTCTTGGTTTACATAATTCACATAACAGTATATTCATTGAATACACTTATCATTCAAATCAAATGTATCTATTAATACAGTGGTAGATTCAGTGAATATAAATATTTAATCAAAGAAACCAAGTCCATGGTTTGGGGTAGATAGTTCCAAAGATCCACTCCCTTATTCAAATAATTTTTATATTACAAAACACTAAGCTTTGTTTTTAATACATTCATAGAATGACCTCTCAGTTATGGAGTTGTCAAGTTGATGGAATGTTTTACTCTGATCTGATGTAATGTCCATGAAGAATTTGACAAGTACTGAGGATTGCTTTCTCGCTCGGCAATGTGTTATCTTGGCTAGGTCGTTTTTCTTGCATAAAGCCTTCTAGGTGATCTTTAATATATAATATGGTGGCATCAACAAGCTGTTGTACGCATCTCTTACAACGGTGTAACAAGTTATCCAATAACTCAGTTTGATAGAGTAATTTACAATAGATGGAGATTACGGTTTTTTAATTTCAATCACAATTATAGATCAGAGATTGTACATGAATACACACACATACAGTGAAACTCCATTTACATGTTTATAAATTCCTGTACTTCCCATGCTACATTGTTTCAGATATGCATTTTATGTTTATACGTTTTTCACGCTTATAAATTCACAATGAAAGTCCCTCTAAGGCTGTATAACGTCTTAATGATAATGACAAATTTGTCCAATAAGTGAGAATGTTTACGTTATCGCAGAGGGGCCTAAGGAATTTTTGTGTTGAATTTAGTATTCAGGGTCTTTAATTTCATTGCTGTGGAGGCGTTTCAACTCTCCATTTCGCGAGAAAGTTCAAGAAGGGAGTGTACCAATGTAATAATCTTGAGAGTTTGCTTTGTTCATAATATTTAATTTCAGTTATGCATTTTTCTGACCTGTACCAAGTGCCGGACCAGCAAAAATGTAAGAGGCTTCTGTCCTCAAAAGTTTAGTTTTTTAATGCTTAGTATCCTTTGTTTTCGTGTTATTTAACGATATGTAGTAAGAAAGTCTTGTCGTGGGTTGTAATTGTTACAAATATATTATTTTGTTGTTTTTCTCTTTTTTTTTTTTTTTTCAGTGAATTTTTCCGATATTTTAATATTATTCTGCTATTTGGGGTGGAGATGAATCAATAAATCGTAGATAATAAAAATTGGTCCAGCTGTTTTTGTGTTACAAACTACCCTGACTTTGTATATATCTATAGCGTCATGTTTAGTCCAAGTGAAAATTGGAATCTCCAAAAATTATGTATCTGCAGATAACATACCCCAACAATTTCCTCGAATCATTTGAAATCGGATTGGCATGGCCTTTTGTCAGATGTTGTTGGCATATATATCCATCCTATATTCACATTCCTCATATTCTAGTTTTAACCAGAGCGCTTCCACATCAGGGTCCTTGATGTCAAACATGTCTTTTGTTTCACGTAATTACTTCTCCTCCATGCCTTCCGACATGCTCCTACAATAAATGTGAAAACCTGGTGTATGTATGAGGAAGTCAGGGATGTTCAATTTAAGTCATGAACCAGTAATTAATAAAAAAATTGGTTGCACAGTATTGATTTCCATCAGAAATTGGTCAAACACGGTCACTTTATTTTAATCAATGATTTCAAATCATTGTTATAGTATGAATAATCAGACAACTCTACTTAAGTTAGGGTTATTGATTTTATGAAGTACTTGTTACTCTGCATGAGCAGGAACAGAAGTGAAATGTTACTTTGGTGCTTATTACAATCTGCCAGTTGGTTTAGATTTTATGCTTATTTTTCCCTTTTATTTTATGCATGCCATCTAACCAGAACATTTGTACTCCTTGTCATAGTCTAGTTCCCAAGGTATTAGTGTTTTTCATACCTATTGAGTTAGCTGCAGTCTTAGGACATCTGAGTAATGCATTTTGGTAATGCCCAATGTTTGGAACTGAATTTTTTATATATTTGAAGCTGTCAGAGGATCTATAGGTTGGTGAGGGTTCTGTTGAAGCTGAAGCTGTTTTTGAGTTACAAACGAACCCAACTTTGTATATACCTATAGCTCCAGGCCAATCTTTATATTGGGTCCCCAAATGGGATGGTATAAAAACATTAAGATTTTTAAAACATCGATATTTTCAACCATAAACGTTGGTGTTTTCTTCAAATTGACATATTTTTCCAGAAATTTTGTTGTTAAATGAAAAAGAAAAGAAAAATTCACATGATATAAATAATCTTTCCAGTACCTTACGTTTTTGTGAGTTGCTCAAAACCATCAGCCCTTGACATATGTCACTGATGTCTGTGCCCAGACGGCATGAAACTGTTTACTATTTGCCATGTTTCTCCAGTGTTGCTAGGTTAGGGGATTTAATTTGGATATTTATTCCTTTTTATTGGTAAATTGGGAGGGGGAAATTTTTGTATGGTTATTTTTGGGGTTGTCCAGAATGTCTCACTTTATTATAATTTACATAAAATATCTATTGTTGCTTGCGAAAAGTAAAATGATGGACGAAACTGGTTAAACATCTGCTGTAGATGACTTAAGATATGCAAAGACAAAGACAAAACTAATTATTTAAAATAAAATTTTACCAACTACGAACCACATTCGACTCATTGAAAAGATAATCTTTCCCAAATTATATTATTGTAAATCCAAAATAAATTTTCTGCAAATATAAAAGTATCATGGGGTTGCCAGATATTCATCATATGACTATTCACTATTTAGGTTAATAACTTAAGTACTTCAAAAATGAAAGAGAACGTGCCAATATAACTTAATAAAATCATTATTTTGTGAGGGGGAAGCATTCTGCAGTTAGGGCTAGTTTTTAATCATGACCAGAGCTGACTTTTTGTAGTCTGAAATCTGCTCGAAATCGTCTAAAATTATTTCAAATATGTGCATCAGTCTCGGATATAATTAATTTATCATCATGAGAAATGTTTGAACTGACAAACTGACTTAATGGATGTGGGTCAATTTGAAGCGAGTGATGCATTGTCTTTAATATTCAGTACAAATATAGGTATGTTAAAGAATTATTTTAGAAGCTTAGAAACATTTGTGCCCCAAAAAAAATCTTTCAGAGCTTTATTATGTTTCGTGTATTTTTAAATTTATTATTATTATTATTATTATTATTATTATTATTATTATTATGTTTATATTAGAATATTGATTAAAAATTAAAATGACAGAGTGAAAGAGCAGAATATACTTAAAATTAATATTTGTGTATAACACATTATATTCAGAACATTTTACTTTGATGATTTATGAATGAAAGAATAAGAGAAAAAATAGCAAAACATGAGGTCCTTTATTTTTTATTTTCTTCTTACATTCAATAAAGATTATTTGTAACTTATTATTTATATGTGACTGGAATAGCGCCCCCTCACCCCCACCCTTCATTCTGCAGTTCATGGTCATGATGATTTTATAAGTGACCAAACAAAATGTAACTCATTTCAGTACTATCAAAATATTGATGTATCAATGCTTGGATAAAATTTGCGATCACTAGTTCCCCTTCTCCCACCCGTTCCCAATGATCTGATAGGGTGCTAAATGAAAATGATTTGTTAAATGTTATTTGTTGTGTTGTCTTTCAATTCTTCACAGAACAATCTTGTTGGCTAACAATATTACCTAATATCCTATAAATAAACAGTAAAAGTAAATTTTTGTGACAGAGTTGCACTTATGTTGAGATGAACTGTTCTTGGAAGTGGAGTATATGTTTTACCCCTAAGAACTGATCAGTAAACCTTCTGTGTCATATTTTAAAACATAACAGAGCTTTCCTACTTTGGTTGAATTAGGACTCTCTCTTAAATAGCCTCACGTGTTTTTATGACTACCTAGAGTTACAATCCCATTTTATTGGCTATTTATACTTGAAATCAAAGCGTCTGAAAGGGAAAATGTTTGTAATTTCATAAATGCACTTAGCATTTGAAATATACAATACTTACTTATGAAATACACAGGGAGAAACCAGAAATGCTCGCAGGTCATTTGGTGAAAATCGTTGACAATTATTTCTGTTTTTTGTATGTGTGATAAGAAATACTTCCCTAATTGATGTGCAAAAAGCAATTATTAAATTTGTTGTGGTTTTCCCATCTTGTAAAGTCTTTTATTCCTGTTGTTTTACTTTCTTAGCTTTTCATTCGTTGAAATGCTTACTTTTGTTTTTATGAGTATTTTTACATTGCCTTTGACTCTTATTGGATTGTTTATAGTTCTCCTAGCTTCTTCATTCTTTCCAAATGTAACGTTTGTATCTTATTCAGGACAAAGTGTGTCGATGGAAATTTTTGTTCTTTTAAAGCAGAGTTTAATCACATCTGAATTTTTTTCAGGAGTGATTGTGTTTTGCCTTATGAATCAATTCACTGCAGTGATGCCCCGTCAGGCGATGAATCTACCAGATCATGCAGACGTAAAAAACAGCCACGGTGGAGAAAAAAATTCTTAGCTGCTGGTTTATTTTCTGATTATTATAAGGAAGATGAGTGAGTATCAAATATTTTCAATGATAGGTCAAAGAATAAGACAGGTGTATTACATTTATTTGGTATTTCAGGCCACGAAAACCTCAGAATGATTCAGGCAAGTCTCGGTTGATATATAGACCAGAAGAACATCAGCATGGTCTTTTACCTCCACCTTATCACTGTGGAAAATATCTAAGACAACGTCGTGTAGAATTTAAATTGCCATATGATCTGTGGTGGTTGCACACTCATAGTCAGCTTCCTGGACGGGATAGAGTTCCATCCTGGAATTACAAAAAAATTCGTACAAGTAAGTATTGCAAGACAGAAGACATTTACTTGTTTATACTTTTCAAAGTTAAATTGTTATGAGTTTTAAGGCTGTTTAAAAGTACTTAATTTCTCAATAGAGTTGTTCTGAAACCAATGTGTGTAATCTTTATCCAGATGTGTACTATGATGTGAAACCTACATTAACCTATGAGGCACAAGCTTGCAATTGTGTTTGCCCTGCTGAGGTTGATAAAAGAGGCTGTGGTGAAGAATGCATCAATCGCATGGTATTTTTGGAATGCTCTCCACAACTCTGTCCTTGCAAGGAATTGTGCTCCAATCAGCGAATCCAGAAACATGAATGGGCTCCTGGTCTTGATAAGTTCATGACTAAAGATAAGGTATCAATTTTTATGACAGTTTAAAACTTATTTTTGGAAACAGTGCCAACATGGAAAGAGATATAGTGAGTGTATGATGTATCCAGGCACAAGTAACGTGATTTTTGGTCATATTTTCATTTAAATTTTTTTATGGAATCTAATTTTAAATAACAGTGCACTTGCTTTTTTTTTCTTTTTAGATATGTAAACTAATTTTCTGCAAAATGGGAAGATCATTACACACGTTTAGCGTTTTAGATTTTGTGTTTAATGTTTTATTCATATTAATGTTAAATAATATAAATGTACAAGGGTCAGTCTAAAAGAAATGCCTTTTATTTCTTTTCTCTTTTATTTACAAGTAAATTAAATGCAGTTTACTTAGTTTAATAAAATACAACTATTGCAATTAATTTGCTACTTGACCATTAAGTCTTCATTCTTTTCCACAGTTTCTGTGCACCTTAACAAGAGTGTGTTTTACTTAGAGGTAAATCTTGCAGGTCTCATTCCTCAGCCATTGGTGCATGAAATTTTGTAGAACATTCACATCTTCAAAGTGATGTATTGGAAGAGATTATTTTAGTGGCTCTCATCTGCAGCCACAATTTTTACTAAGAACTATGGGGGGGGTCTATGGTGAGCCACTGAAACAGAGCAGGCACTATAGTTTTCTTTACCTCTTTTTTTTTCTGGTTGGAAATTTCCATTACCCAATATGCACAAATATTGGATATTTCTTTCCATTACCCAATATGCACACGTATATCAATTTATTAATAATGGACATTATGTTGCCTTCGCTGATGGGAAGCTTGCAACACAATTTATCTGTTGTTATCTGATGGTCATTCTGAATGATCTTGTAAACTTTCTGGATGTGACGTCGGGTCAGTGCAATCATTGATCAGCCGGCTGCTCTGCTTTTTATCAAACAATGATTTTTACCTTCAGCTCTTATACAGCGACAAACCCATCATCTTACTGTACTGACATCTCCTTGTTGTATCCCCATACATTTTCTTCAGTCTAACAAAACCCATGAAGGTGGGTGGGTTGGTCCTCATCCTTATGGTGGATGCAGATAAGGCTCTATCTCTCGGGGTTCTCTTTTTTTCTTTCTTTTTTCCCCTTCTTCTTCTTCTTTCTCTTCTTCTTCTTCTTCTGCTTCTTCTTCTTCTTCTTCTTCTTCTTCTTATTCTTATTCTTTTCTTCTTCTTTCTCTTCTTATTCTTCTTATTCTTTTCTTCTTCTTTCTCTTCTTTTCTTCTTCTTTCTCTTCTTCTTTCTCTTCTTATTCTTCTTCTTTCTCTTCTTATTCTTTTCTTCTTCTTTCTCTTCTTTTCTTCTTCTTTCTCTTCTTCTTCTTCTTTCTCTTCTTCTTCATCTTTCCCTTCTTCTTCTTCTTCTTCTTCTTCTTCTTCTTCTTCTTCTTCTTCTTTCCCTTCTTCTTTTTTCTTTTCTTTTCCCGTTTCCATACTTCGTCCTCTTGCTTTTCATTTCATATGACACCTACATTCTTTAATCACCCATTTTACTTCCTTACTGGCTTTCTCTGTATGCTGAATGCGTATCAATGTTTTTGGCGTGCGTGGCATCCTATTCAAAGGAAATGAGTGACTTGTGGGTTGAGGGGACTGTGTGGGCTGATTTGAATTCCACCTTGACACTGGAACCTTAAGGTATTCTCTAAGTCTGTTTTTTGTGTGAACTCTGGTGAGTTCTGGTGACTGCATGTAGGTATGTACTGCATGACTCAAAACATTACCTGCGAGTGTGCGGAGGGGAAGAAGCCATCTTGCTCCCTGTTCTATCACCATGGCAACACTGGCACTCCAATAGAGTTCCTCTTGTTCCATAGTGGGTGGGGATAAACTGAATTCCTCTCAATGGATTCCAAGGACCCCTGCCCCGTGCTCTCTTCTCAAAGGAGGATGACACATTGTGAAAGCTGAGAAGAAGGAAAAGTTGAACAGATTCTTCAGCAGAGACTTGATAAGCTGACTAAGACTCCGTTTCTTACATCGGAGAGTACTGAACAAGCATTAGGCCCTTAATAGATTGCATCAATGGACATTGGATATACTTAATAGATTGCATCAATTGCATCTAGAGGTTTCAAGTTTTAATGACAAAAACATGTTGCATGCATTTCTATTGAATCTACCATCTTTGTAACAATCTGAGGCGTTTCCTAGATGGTCACCAGCTTCCCTTTGTTGAGATGCTAGGTTTGACAAGATAGGAGGCATTTCTTTCTGAGTGACCCTCATAAGGAAACATTCAAGGTGTAACTATTGTCAGTCATTCATATTTATCTAAGTTGATTACGAACACAAGAGTCATATTCTGCAAGGTATTGGCTACAACTTATTAATGCTTTTATAGCAGTGAATGTATAAATGAGAAGTATTATTTTTTAAAACCATATGAGTCACTTCCTTAAATGAATATAAAATGACCTTAATTGAGTTTTTTTGATAATAAAGGTGGTGCCCTGTTCGGTCAAAGTTTATTAATTTAATGTGTTTTAAATACATTTAAGTGTGTACCAGTGCACATAATATACTGCCTGCATGTAAGATTGTGTATAAATGACTTCAAGAATTGCTCATTTAATTAAATACTTTGTCTCATTCTTCCTTCATTTAACTCAACTTGGAGTTTTAATTCAAATTAAAGTTTTGAAATACAGAGCCTAATGCCCTTTTGGAGAAAAATAACTTGAATATTATTAGAAATGGGTTGCAGTGGACACCTTTCCTAAAAGCTGAATTTAAAGATTATTTATAGTCAATTTTATGGATTTTTTAAAATTATTATTATTATCATTATTACTGTCATCAATATTTGTTTTCAAGAAGACAATTGTAGTTTTGCAGGAGTTTTGTTAATTTCATTGATAAGAAACAAATTTTTTCTGCATCTTCTGCTAAACAAAATATTTCTTAATTATTCATTGAGTTATCAAAAGACATGCATGAGAAATAAGTGTTTCTTGTGGGGAATTGTGTCAAAATTCTTGATTACATTACCTTTTCAGTCTCGAGACCTATCTTAATCAAACTGAGAACATACACTTTTCCAATGCAAATGATCAGAAATAAATAGAAAAATAATTTAAATGCAAATCTTCTGAACTATTGGTTCTTTGTTTTCTTTTCCCTCCTCAATTTGATTGGGTTGTTCTCATTTTGAATATTCTTTGTCTCAATTTGAAATTCAATCAATGTGGAATCACGGCAATATATGATTTTGTTCAATGAATACTAATTACTGTTTCAGGGTTGGGGTGTGAAAACTAAATATGCAATTAAATCAGGAGAATTTATTCTGGAGTATGTTGGAGAAGTGGTAAGTGAAAAGGAATTTAAGGATAGAATGGCATCACGCTACATAAATGACACGCATCACTATTGTCTCAATTTGGATGGTGGATTGGTAATAGATGGGCATCGAATGGGTGGAGAAGGTTAGTAGGAAGATAATTTGAAGATGAAAATGACCTAAAATGTGATTAGTGTTCTTATCCTTTGTTTTATTTTATAGGGCGTTTTGTAAATCATTCCTGTGATCCTAATTGTGAAATGCAGAAGTGGAGCGTAAATGGTTTGTTCAGAATGGCCCTCTTTGCTCTGAGAGATATCCAACCCCATGAAGAATTATCATACGATTATAACTTCTCTCTTTTCAACCCTGCCGAAGGCCAGGTAATACGAATTCTGTTAAAAATATTTATTATTTAATAGTGCTGATGATTGTATCATTTAAAAGATCTGATTCCTCTTGTTTCTGGGTTAAACATGGGGAAACTGTGAGCAAATGCAAAATTTCAGCTGCGTTGATACAAGTGCATTATCATAACATAAATTCTTTGTATTTATGTCATTGATTTGTATTTAAAAACACAGTGTTGTGTGTTTTTGTTAAAATTTAGGCCTGATAATATTGCTTAAATTTGTCAAAAAAATTTTATGCATGGAAATTTGTCTTCTATTCTGAATTTTCATCGTCTTTTCGAAATTTCAAATGAAATCCAGTGTCTGGTCCTGAATGGTTAAAATGATTTATTTCATAACATGAAGGCTTTTAAGCTGTTTTGAAGATTAAAAATAATTATCTAAGGTTTAGGGAAAAGAAAAACAGTTTCTTTTTTAAAGTAAACTTCTATTACCACAATCAATATTTCCAGCAATCCGTTGAGTAGATGGCAAAATTTTTCCTGGTTTCCTTTTGGTTAGTAATTGCAACATGGCTCCTTCAAAATTGTTACGTTCAATCTCTAGAAGTTAATGAAGTAATAAAAGAATGATGATGGATTATGGATGTTACATAATTCAATTTCAATTGAATTTTTATATCCGGTGCAGGCCTGAAGATCCTTGATTATGTAACTAATTCAGTAATTTGATAATCGACTTTTCACTGTCCTTATACACAAAACAAATTGAATAAAAAACCTGAGAAAGAAACTGATAAAAATTAAAATAATAGTCAAAACAAAACAATTATTTATAAGAAATGTTATTGTTCTTTACAGAAAATAATTAATTTACCATATTATTATCCAAATTTATCAAAAATATTCTCAATAATTTTTAACTCGTTTACCTTTGATATTTTAAGTACATGTGATAACACATTAAACACATTTATGACCCATTCACAATGCAAATATATACAAAAGCATGACATTAACATAAAAGTTAGGACTACATACACAAGCGGAATCATTCACAATGCATTCGCATAGGCATAACATGTAAGACATTAACTTAAAAGCTTCAAGCTTCTGTGCCTATGCCGAAGTAAGACATAAGAAATGAACCAATCCCAGTATATTTACTCAAAATTGTGTAACGAAATAAGATCGAAGTCGATCGCCATGTACCAAGGGCCATGGAGACAGTCGATACCTCGAAAACAATTCTCACATACAACTAATAGAGAACTAGAATGTCTCACAGCCAATAGAAACTCTTATTTTACTTATATTTATGTTAGGCTATGTGAATATTTCAGTCTACCACTCATGTTAATGATTGAATCTATGCGTTATGCTTATGCATCTATGTATTATGTTAGCATTGTGAAAGAGCCTCAATTCCTACTACTTAACACCTCCAAATGTTATGAACGCAGTCTCTTCTATATTTAAACTCTGAAAATTATAACTGCTTTTCTCTATTAAAGTTAACATAACTTCACATTCTCCCAGGACCCCTTAATAATTATATTCGTGTCATCGGCAAAAAATATCAAATCACCTTTGGGCAAAATTTTTAAAATGTCATTTAAATATAATATAAATAAAGATGGTCTCAAAATTGTCTCTTGAGGGTTACCACTTATCACAGTCAATTCCTCACTATACTGACCATTTATTCTCACATATTGTGTTCTATTTGATAAATAGTTTCGATTAATTTGTAAACAATTCTTCTGAACCCATAATGACGACTTTTTTGATTAGATTTCATGATTTATTGTGTCAAAAAGCATAAAAGATGTAATGTTTGTCTATTTAACTTTGAAATCCTATTTTTAAAATTTTCTCAGAACATTTTTTACAATTTTTTTGATTAATGAGATCGATTGGGAGTATTATCCTCATCCCCACTTTTATGCATGCATATCACGTTCACTTTTTGAATATGATTAGGAACATTTCCTGTTTCCTGTAGTTTTGCAATTGAAACATTTTCTGTTATTTCACAATAAATTGTAATTTCTCTTGCCATCATCTATACCAGCTGATTTCTTAGTATTTAAAGTGTCTACATTCTTTTCAATTTTGTGTTCATTAGAAGAAAACAGAAATACAGAATCTACAATAACATCATTTTAATTTGAGCATTATTAAAAGTGTCAATCTCAATTTTTACCTGCTGTTTTTGCCCTATTTCTACAAAAAAAATATTCAAATAATTAGCAATTTCAATTTAATTTTTAATATAAGTTTTGGTTTGTTCAGGGAATAATCTATTAATAGATTTCCTTTGTTTTATTTTTCCCCAAACTAATATTTATAAAGCCCCATTGAGATTTATCATTCCCATTGCCTGTCAATAATAAATCTCTTCAGCAATATTTAACATATTTTCCAACATGTTACGTATTTATGTTTTGTATTTATCTCTTATTTCACTGTGTATTGAATTAGCTTTTGTTTTCATAAATAAGAAACTTTAAGTTTTACAATGCGTAATTAAACCCTCTATTATTCAGCTTTTTGTGTGTTTGTTTCTATATTTCCTTCTAATGGTTTTCTTAGATTTTCTTCAAGTGCATCTTTATCCCAAAAATTAAGTTATTAATTATAGATTCTGTACATGTATCCTCATAAATGAAATTCCAATTCACATTACTTATAATGTGTAACAATTTGTGTACTATCGTGCTACTCTGCTTTTGTTATAGTAGATTTGTTTAACTTATTTACTGATTCAACATACCTATCCATACCCCCAACATCACTATCACCTAGTGATCAGTCAAATGAAGAATACACACAGCAAATCTAGCTGTAATATGAGAATCGTCCACCTTACCAAATATGAGGTCAAAACATGATGAGGAATTGCCAGTTACTAGTGTAGGCGTATTTATAAAAGAAATAAAGCTGAATTCAGTCATATTGTTAAGATGTTCCCAAGTTTTAATATTATTTTTGAGAATGTCTATAATTGTCTTATTTATTACATTTCTTTCTTATTCATTGAAAATATGAAATTTGTATTTCACAATGTTTTTAAAAACAAACATAAAAAAGAAAAAAATAATTAAAGTTCATTGTTTTTAGCCGTGTAAGTGTGGAGCAGCAAATTGTAGAGGCGTCATTGGGGGCAAGTCCCAACGAGTAAATGGATCTCTACCTATTGAAAAGGAAGAAAAAAGTGAACGGAGACTTGTTGGGCGTCCTCGCAAGAATGTACGTAAGACCAGTACCACTAGTAGTAGTAGCAGCAACAAGCTGAAGTACAAGAAGAGGCTGGGAGAGGGCAGTTCCAGTCAAAAGCATAGCTACATTACTCCTGTAAAGCCCATGTCTCACCAGCAAAGGTGTTTTGCCCAAATGCACCACTGTTTTTTGCTTCGAAATTTAGAAAAGGTTAGAGAAAATTAGTATTTTTATGCATTTAATATTTGTTTAATTTGTTCTTCTCTCCTCTAGCTATTTGATTTATAGTAACATATCAACTTCAAGCCAATTGTAAATAATTTGTCCTGCTGCTGATGGATATCAGAACGAACATCTAAATTAAGTTTCTTCAAAAATTTAAGTGCTTCTTATTTTACCTATACTGGACTCTTTTTACCCTGTGGCCACTGTTGACTTAAACTTTGATCAGTTAACCCAATTAACTATTACGTTGAAATGTTAAAAGTTTCAGTATGAACCTACTTCTTAATATGTATGCTTTATTATGTCAGTTTTATTAAGTATATAGTACACTATTATAATATAAATAACACTAATTCATTCTAGATATGTATTTATAATAGTATTTGTAAATTTAATTAATTTTTTATACTCGCAGTAAGCATTTTACCTTGATATAGCACAGGTTTCCAATTGGTGGCCCACAGGCTGCATGCAGCCTGCGAAAGGATTTTTAAAAATCAATATAGACGTCAACTTGTAGATTCTTCTGTATTGCTTCTTTTGAGATTGGAAACAACAAAACTGGAGGAGGACATTCATATATTGATAGTTGCACCTGATTGAATTAAGAACTCCCACTAACTTGATCTTTTCCACATTTTGTTTTGACCATTAATTAAATTTGTGGCTAGGCTATTTTTTCACTCCCATTGGTCAAATTAAAAAAAAACTGATATTGTTGAGTGCTTTCGTTCAAAATTTAATTGTTCGCAATATAATGAATGCACTCTGGGGTCGGATGCTTCTAAGCACTGCGAGGTCCCACAGTTCCTAAGGCATCCATAAGATGACAATGGAAACTGTCTGGACAGCTCATAGCAGATACTTTGCATACCTCCATTCCAACTTGTACCCAATTTTGCCAGTGCGGGAGATTATTGTCTACTAATGTATATTTGTTTATATTCAATTTTCTTTTCCATATTTTTTGTGTAATTGATATATGGAACTTTCACGTAGAATCTACACTTATTTAAATCCACATTTCAGAAGTATTGTATTGAAATAAAAACGTTAATTTTGTTAATAAATTCCATAAAATAAGATTAATAAATTCCATAAAATAAGATTAATAAATTCCATAAAAACATTAATTTTGGTATTTCATTGGCATACGTTTGGAAGTTACACACATACAAAATTCACTAATTTTTAAGGAGGTTTGCACAGCATATACGCTTTGGTAATGGACACTGAAGCCAAAACAAGATTTTCCTACCCCATTTGCAAGATTTTCTGTCTGAAACAATGTGATGCTGCGTTCTTATCTGCAATGTACATGGAAAATACATGGAAATCTGTGAGATGCTCTTTGAGTCAATCAAGGATTTTGGTGTGTCATCTTAAAGATGCCACACCAAATAGATAAAGTGTTGTGTGACTTATCACTTTACTTACTCATATGAGATGATTATTCTCCTGTCATCTCCAAGATGCCATTTGAGCTGTAGGACATGTATTAGGCTCGTTGCATAAGAGTGCAAAGGGTTACGTAATTAAAATTATTAAATCTTGGTTTCTAATAAATTATGTGTATTATTTCACACTAATTCACACCTCTATTCTATTTGCCGAATATAATTAAAAAAATTGCCCTAATATTAAAGTGCGGCTTGTTTCTACTTCTTTTCTAATGTGACCTGCAAGCTAGTACCAGTTGGAAATCCTTGATATACAATACAGAATAAGTTACATTACGCTGCAGCAAATTGAACTAGATTTTGATGGAAATACGTTTTTAGGATTCTGAACACTATAACTTCAATAACAGTTAGTGTCTAAAAAGCTGAAAAGTAAATGTATACAGACTTGGTTCTCTTGGTAACATAGGACCTAGGCCTTGGATACCTGTGTAGTGAGGAAGAAAAACATTGGCTTTTTTGTATTTTTAAAGGCTGATTTATTATAAAAAATTGCCCATTGTAGGGACATCTACCTCGGAAGCTTCACACATTCGGAATTTGGGGAGTAGCCAATGACTGCTCATTGAATCATGAGAAATGTGGATGGGTTACTTGCCATTTGCCAAGCATTAAAGATTTGGTGCTCACCCTACCCAAAGCATGTTGGTCTTTTGGTCACATCAAAGGAAGCAAACATTCATTGATCAATTCTGCTACTTGAGTTGGACGAGCTGTTCTTCCCCATTTGCCAAATGCCAAATGTGTGGAGTTGCCTGAACTTGTGCTATATTTTGTATTAAAATATCTATTGTTATTGTCTTAGTTACATTTGTATTTAAATATCTATTAAGTTAAATGAATAAATGTGGATTTTACTTTCATTTTTTGTGTAGAACATTAACGTATGAGTTACATGTATAATGTCATTAAAGTTACATACATTTTTTTTTAAATAGGTGAAGCGATTAAGGGACAGATTGAAACAGGCGTCGCGTCGGGAGCAACCAGTATCTTGCAGTTATCCCCGTCCACAAGTAAAACAGTCAGATGTTTTCTTGACTCAACTGAATGCACTATCCACTCCACGTAATATACGCACCAGACGATTGGCGCAAGCAGAAGATAACCCAGAACTCACAAGGACTGCTAGACTTGCCTATGTGTTTAGAGATTTATATAATGTTGTTATGGCTGCGAAAGGTAATTTTATATTACTGTTACTTCCTTATTTTATAATAAGTTAACAGCATTTTCTTGATAAATATAATAAATATACTTGTTATTAAATTTAATTCTCTATTCCTGCAGATGAAAATGGTGAAATGCTTGGTGCTCCTTTTTTGACTCTTCCTTCAAAACGAAAATTACCTCAATATTTCCAACGAATAAGTGAGCCAATTGATCTTGGTACTTTGGAACAAAACATTGTGACAGGTTTTTACAAAACAGTAGAATCATTTGATCAAGACATGGTCCGATTGTTTTCAAATAATGTGCGCTTCTTTGGAAGAACATCAGAATTGGGAATCACTGCTACTCGTTTGAGAAAAGTTTATAATGAAGCTAAATTGGATTTCTTGGGTCAGTTGGAAGAAATACTGGGAGAAAGTCCACCATCCTCTTTTATTCCTGAACATGATCCAGGTAACGTGTTTCTGTTCTTCTCAAAACTAAGACCAACTGTCATTTATAGTTAATATGTATGTTTACATAAATATGCTTTCTAAAACAGGTGGTGAGGAAGAAGATGTAATTAGATGTATATGTGGTTTGTACAAAGATGAAGGCATGATGATACAATGTGAACGATGTTTAGTTTGGCAACATTGTGATTGTGTTAGAGCAGATGAAGGCATAGAACATTATCTTTGTGAACAGTGCAGTCCCAGGGAAGTGGACTTGGAAATCATCATGTCTCCACAGCCTCATTATGCCACTCCTGGATTAACATACTTTATAACTCTGCTTCGTGGAGAATTGCAATTACGTCAAGGTATCTTCATTATCTTCTTGAGCTCTTGTGAATGTGCTTTAGCGGTTAATTTTTGGATAGCATTACCTACTTGAATTCTAAACTTTAATTAAGTAGTTCTTTTAAAAAGATTTATTTTGTTACATCAATTTTTTAGGTGACACAGTTTATGTCTTACGTGACATGATTGAGGAAAATGCTCCCAAAACTTCTCCTCCAACAAAACACACATACAAAACAATAAAGGACTACAAGTATACAGATTTTGATATTTTCAGGATTGAGCGACTGTGGAAGGATGAAAAGTAAGATATTATTTTTAATTTTTTAAAAATAGCATCCATATTTGCAATAACTACCTGGAAAATTTTATTCAATCAAGTAATTAATGTAAAATATAATTTTTTAAATCTGGTCTTCTTTACTTTTCTTCAGGGGTGAAAGATTTGCCTTTGGACATCATTATCTAAGACCTCATGAAACATATCATGAACCGTCTCGGAAGTTTTTCCCTAATGAAGTGATGAGGGTTCCTTTGTATGAGGTAGTTCCCCTTGATCTCATCATGGGTCATTGCTGGGTCTTGGATTTGAATACGTTTTGTAAAGGACGACCAGTGGGAGCCTCTGAAGAACATATCTACATTTGTGAATATCGGGTTGACAGAAGTGCCCATCTCTTCACCAAAATTGCAAAACCTCGACACACTGTTTGCACCAAAGCATATGCTTTTGAAACCTTTGACAGAAGATTAAAACCTCAGAGGACATATACAGTAAGTTCAAGATGTGTGTTATGTTATGATTCCAAACAATTTTCAAATTTGTAATTTTTATTGGCTTAAAAAACATGGTATTTTCTATGTAGTTTTAATAGTAGGTTATCGTATGAAGAAGAATAGTGAGCGCAAGAATGTAATTCCTATTGTTTTTAATAACAAATTGCTTCAAAAAATTAGCCTGTTTCTAATTATTTATTTATTGTAATTATCATAACTTAGTCCATTACTACATACTATTTTACAAAAACGATTTCACACATAGTAGAAGTGATAGCTCAAAGAAAATAACAAATATAGGATTACTTATTAGCAATTGTAAGATTATTCAGAACTCAGAACAGAATGCAACAAAATTTCAATATCTATTACATCAGCATCCAAAACATTAAATCTATTAACATAATAAGACATTCTGTTTAATAGATCATTCAGTGATTAGGTAGATGATCAGAATGTAACTGATGCATACTTGATGGGTACTTGCTTCAAAAGCAATCAGCAAGCACCGCCATCAACACTGAATAATCTATTAATAACTGAAAGTGTTTTGATCACAACTTCATATTGATAACGAAAAAATACACTTTGACATTCATAATACACTTGCTCACTTAATTACATGCTTTGTAAAATATAACTATGTTATTTGTGGAACAGCAACCAAGCTTTATTGATTTCAAGACAAAATATAACGCATTTTGAAATGCGGGCGTCAGAAGATTTAACATTTTTTGACATAAATATATTTTCTCCTTTGTTTAAATGCATTGAATGTTCTTTGATTTGGCATTTTTTCAGTGCAAATACAAAAAAATTTAAAGTCAATTAAAAGATATCTTCAAACTACATAGAAATTAGTTATGGAGTTAATAACTTAATAGAGTAAAACAGATAAATACTTTGTCTTTGGCTATGAAATGTTTCTGATCATTTCATGCAAAATGACAAAGATATTACAGCCACAATAGAATGGTGGATTTCCCTGGTGTACAAAAACAAAACTGAATCATGGAGAAAATTAATTTTTATATTTCATAATTGCCAACATTTATTGAATTAAAACAAATTTTTGTGTCAGTTTTATTTTGAATGAAAATGTACATCATACTATTTCCAAGTTTATTACAGAACAGTATATAGTAAGTTTCAGTTTTTTGTACTGTAATGATTTTTAATTCTTTAGTTTTCTTTGAGCCTTATAGGTATGGTCGATCAAGGTAGAACCTTTATAAAAAAGATTTTTTCATGTTTGTTGCAGCCTCATGGTCCAGTTGCCCCCAGGGCTCGAGGGCGCAATGCAGGTTCTCGAAGTGCTGAAGAAGATCCCAGTAAGGTGGCACCTGGCCCACAGCCAGCTCCATGCAACGACGAAGAAGAGGAGGTTCCATTAGCCAGAGTAAGGGATGACACTTTGGCACGAAAGGCATGTTGCTGCTTGGCTTAATTTGCCTCTATGCATGTTTGCTTTAGGTTCATGAATGATGATGACTATTCAGAAAATCTTGTCACCTTTTCTTCTTTACAAAATCCAAGTGCATGTACATATTATTTCTTGAAGAATAATGACATTGAATTCTCATATTTGTTTACTTTCAATAAAAAATATACCTTGGTTCAATTTGAAATTTGTAGATTTGAAGCAAATTTAAAATTGAATGCGTGAATGATGCTTTAGAATATTCCAAATGCACTGTCCTGATAGAACAACTACTAGCATCTCTTCCTTTGTTGCAGCTTACTGATTTTGAAATTAAGTTTGTTTTATTATATTTCTACATTTCAGAGTTGGTTATTTTGACAGTAGCAAAATTTTAAATAAAATATCTTACCAAATATTTTTGAAAATTATACATTTTGGAATGACAAGTTTTTAATTGAATAGTTCTTTAAAATTTTATTGTAAAACTTCCAATTAACAATTATACCAAGACGGTTGTGAAGTCCCTGAAAGATCAGCACTCTTTATTGTGTGTAGTGTTTATTAATTGTTACAATTGGTAGTTTGTTATAGATTAAAAGACATCTGATAGATTCATAGACACTTGTGTAGATGGGTATCTGAAAAGATGGATATAAGGGTGTCTAGATACTTAAAGAATTAAGAATAAAGTTGCAGCAGAGATCTTGATATCTCCTTCCCATCTGTAGGTTTGGGAATAAATTGTGCCATTGTAATGGTAGAAGATAAAGGAGTATTTAGATGTCCTCATGAGTGGCACTATCTGGAAAGCTCTTTTTAGATTCCAAATATTGTCAATTAGATATAAAATACCAGTTTAATGAAATGGTAGAGACTTCAGAATTTTTTTAGTAGGGTCTCTTGCAGTCAAAGCTTTTCATCTATTGGTTAGCATATTAAAAACCCTAATAAAAAAATTCTTTAATTTCCAATAATAATTTCCAATTGTGCTAGAACTCATTTTGAGCTCTGGCATTGGGTTTGGTCTTCTGTATGTTTGCAAGATATGCCAGATGAAAATTGATAATCTGTCAAATGCATAAGGATGGGAGTGAGAACAGATGTGTAAAGGCAGAATTGTCTCCCATATTTTAAGATTATATTCCATTGAGGTAGATGCACCAACATCTACCATGATTTGACATTTCATATTTATTATAATTGCATTTGTTATGTATTATTGGCAATGCAGAATTTTGAAGTGAATTTTGTATCAATTAATAGTGCTAAAATAATTAATAATTTTGTTTAATTAGACTGAGATCTAACATTGCATTTCTTGCTTTTCCATGAGCTCTTAAGTAATGAAATGTGACATTTTTATTGCCACAGTTCTCTCCCAATTTTATCCCATTACTGAAATTATATTTATGGAATATTAATTGTGCCAGTGGGTCTTGGTGACTGCAGGAAAGTAAGAGCTGATACATAATCTTTGGTCTCGGACTCTTCTAGTTGGATGATTGGGAAGTAGTCCACACCCAATCAGTTGTCTTGGGCTAGATCTCTGAATTCCATGGGGTTTTTCAATGCGTCCTTTGTTATTGAGAAGGCGAGGAAGAAGCCATGCTACTCCCTGCTATGTCCCCATGGTAACCTATGCAGGCAATGGAGAGTCTATGAGGTCAAAAACCAAACTCTCCCCCATTCCTCTTCTGCATAGAAGAGGATACTTGATGAAAGGGATAGCAACCTAGACAGTTTCTTTTGTAAAGGTGTTAAGCTGACAAAGCTCTGAAGGGTGCACCCTGTTTCAGGTAGATCACAGCATTATCATTTGTTCCAACGTAAATATTGTATTATTATCCTGAAATTGGCAGGCTGACCACGTCCTCGTGTGTCTTTGTCGAATGCTGCAGTTGTTATCACAGTGGGTGACCGGAAATGCCACTTGCCATATGGTTGCCAAATGGTCACTTGCCAGACCTCTCTCAAGTGGCATGGGGAAAGACTCTTCTAAATGACTTTCCCAGGTTTTCTGGTAAATAGAAATCCCGCCTTGCTAGAAGATATAGTTTAGGAACTACTCTCACCCTCACACATTGATCACCTTTTGCTTCCAAAAATAATCTCTTGTGGCTTTTATAGCCTTCAGGTGCACAAGTATGTGCTGAACTCTGCAACATTTCAGTTTCCAGAAGTTTGGTCATACCATTCAGCACTGCATGTCAGAGAAGCCGGCATATGCCAATTGTAGTAGAATATCACATGAAGAACCTGCTCCTCACCACCCCATAGCATTAACTGCAAAGGTGATTGTGCTGGAAATTCAAATCAGTGCCCAATCTTTGTCAAGGAGAGTGAAATTGCGAAAATCTGGCAACATTTCATTTATGCAAGAAGGAAATTTCAAGTAAAACACCCCCGGATATTCTGCAAACCTTTTCTAATGTGCTAAAATCAGTCCAAGAAGGAAGTGAACATTCAAATAGAGTGTGGTACTCCTTCAGTGGATAACGTTGAGTTACACCGCGATTTATTGGATGAAACTCTCAATAGCTGATACCTGCCAGGGGCAGAATTGCGGAAATCGGTGTCACCCTACAACTTACATGGGGAAGCACTACCTTCAACGGCCAAGATTATTGTACCATCTAAATACAAAAAAGTAAAAGAGATCACACCAAAAACTTTGACTGAGTCTGCTCTGGAATCTCCTGTTGACCTACTAAATAGACAACAATAAACGAGCTGACCCTCCCTGGGGTCTTGAACAAAATCAAAGGGGCATGAAGAAAAAGGCACAAACTTAAAATTCCCAATGGCTCTCCGCTCATGGAATTAAAGGGTGTACACACCCATTCACGAGACCTTCCATTAAATCTATTCCGTTTCCTGTGTGTTTGCAGGAAACATGTCTTTTTATGTCTTTTACACAGGCATGCAAGGTCTGTCCTTAAAGTAGTTTGACTGAGTCGATTACAAAACATTTATTGACAGGAATGTGCTCAATGTTCTTCAAAGTAGAATGCTTCTGCATAACATAATTAACAGTCGTGAGCTCGAGTGAGGAGAGTTTGCAAAAGCATATTTGCTTCCTGGAGAGCATACATATCTTTGCTTATGTGTTAAGCCCCTCTGAATGCCATAGAGTTGAAAACACAAAAATTTAATGGAACTCTCCTTTCATCTGCAGTGAATGATTTTCAGCAAACTTCGCGAAATATATTAATAAGATAAATATATAGTTTATCCCACGAAAGTTTATGATTTGTGTCAATCTTTTGCCCTTTAGGTACTATTCACAACATTGGCATCCTCATAGCCATTGGAGCCTCTCGTACTCATCACATCGAGTTCGAGTTGAAGATGTTATATTCTGCTTGCAGTCTTTGGGATGAAACAGTCAGGCCTTGCGAATCATCCAATCCATTGGATTATCCAGTACCCTAGCTACTGGTCTTTTATGCTCTTAAGCGATCACTGCCCTAATCTCCAGCTTTGTTTCCAGAAATTGCTAGAGGATCTAAATATGAAACCTTTCCGCAACCTTATATCTCCCTGGAAACTTCTTTTTTCGAATGTAGACCAAAAAATAGCAATCTCCCCAAACGCACTACTTCTCCTTTTGTATACTTGATATACTTCCATAAGTTGAGACTAGCCTATCCTGACCACTTTCCTTTGCACTGACAGCTCTGTGATCAATGATTCAATGGCTTGTGTGCTCTGTTGCACAATGCCTACTCTCTCATTTCAAATTCACCCTTTCGGTAGCATATTCTCTGCCGGGACGTTTGCTGTGCTGCAAACCCTGCAATATATCAAATCATGTTTGTCACGAGTTTTAGTGCACTTCAGGCACTCTTTAACACTTTCATTCTCAAACCATCTGACGAAGACAATGCAACACCTGACTCACTGTATATTGCCTCTACACTATGACCTACTATTCTGTTGGGTGCCAGGTCATATGGTAATCATAGTCAATTAGCTAGCTGACAGCCTGCGAAATCAACTCGAAATTCGCTAATTGAATTTCCCAATCCAAGCATCCAACTGAGAGGTCATCAACACTTAATGGAAAAGGATCGCTTGTGTAAAAACCCACGTGGAAATAGAATTATTGACAAGTGCATCTCTGTTGCACACAGGGACACGTACCAACAAAAGAAAACAAAATTAAATAATCATTCGTAATCAAATTTACTTTGTTCACTGCCTTATAAATTAGCATATGTCTATCAACATTGTTATTTCAAATTCCATCAAGTATGTACATAATACAGTAATATCCTATCATGAACATAAGGTTTTGTAACCGTTTGTTTATTGAAAAAAAATACAAATAAATAGTTTTAGAAGTGCATTTATGAGAAAAAACAAGCAATTTGTTAAGTCCTTCTATAGAACTCCTTGAAAGGTTTTTGGAGGTTTTTCCATTTAGAGACATGATTTTTAATTATTTTGCAGATAGTTGTGGCAGTTTCTTCTGTGCTGTGGTGGAGGCTTCAATTACTTCTTTTTATTTTCTTGTTTGTTGCCTTTAAATGTACAAGTATTTATCTTGCTATTCAGATTTATTTAATTTGTGTTTTGGGTAATTTTTGTGTTACAGAGAGCTAGTCAGAAGAAGCGTCTGAATGTGATCCTGTTGAGGCTGTTGGCACGATTACCCAGTAAACAGCCTTTGGATTTGTCATTTTTACTTGAACCAGGGAGACGACATCGTAAAAAATCTAGCGTTCTTAATCCTTGAGAATGGCTACTGTAAGGGGGGTTTGGTTTCATTGTGGAAGCTAGCCAACTAGTAGTAATGATTAAGGAAACAAGAATGAATGTTTTTCTGTTCCATAAATATTATTTATAGAATATTGGTGGGTTGTGTAGATGATAATTGTATTTATTTCAATTCTTGGAACTGTTACTGATTTTTCCCATTCTTTTTCTATTTCAATTGTGTGCACAAGATCTCTTCTGTAATGTTTTACTATGTATTTATTTATTTTTTTCTATTCTTACATAACTTTTCTTGAGTTTGTGCATATAATTGTTACGTATATTTACTAGTTTTCAAATTCGTATACTTCAGACTGGATAAGGCAGGGTATATCATACGTTTGTAAATGGGAACTGAATGGAATGAATTACAAATATCCCAACCCCCTCTCCCAGATGGTGTAACTGATTCTGAATCAACGATTATTAATAAAAAATCTGCTGATATCAAAGTAGATTTAAAACTCCTGAAGTTATTGTGAACTTCAATAAAATGCATTGCACACCTCAAGAAAATGTGAGAAAATGTCAGTTTACATCCATCTGAGGGAATTTATAGCTTTTCTCTAAGACGTTATTGGACATACAAGTACAGAGCTGTACTAATCTACATCACTACATTGACATATCATTTTAATTAACATTAATTTCATGTTATGTGATTTTTATCAATCAGTACTCATAAATATAACTTAAATATAACTTTTCTCCCTGGATATTTCTTTCTTGCCATATTATGGAATAATGTTTGATGCACATAAAAATATGTGCTATAACATCAATAATTATATCTACCCTTTTAAATAGATGTTTTAATATTTAGGTTTTACTGTACATTAAAAGTTTTCTTCTTTCACTGTATTTCATGTTAGGTGACTTATTATATTTTAGTTTGAATAAGCATATTACCAAATATGCCCTTTACAAATACTGGACTCGAATATTTATTCATCACCAATTATGACAGTTATTAGTAAATGTTTAATGACTGAGAGGACCCTAAATCATATACTTCTGAGAGCAGGAGAATATATTTGTGATTTTTTAATGTCTATGTTATATACTGTATAAAGACAAGTATTGAAATTATTCTCATTAATATTCTAATTTTCATTGTAAGAAATTACATGGAGAAACATGATTCTCTTGTAATGTTTGTAAAGCTTTGTAGAGTTGAGTTCCTGGTCAGAGAGTTAGTGTGTAAATATTAATCATATGTATTATGGTGCCATATTGGCATGTAAGATTAATAATTTACCTCGTAACATTTAAGTTATTGGATTATTCAACCAGGAATTTACCTCTAAAATTGTTTTTTTATCAGTGCTGTGAATGGTTTTTAAATGATGTAAATTTGAGACAAATGATTGTATATTTGTATGCATGAAATGATATGAAACACATAGATGTTTGCCTCTAATCTTTATAGCGAATTTAAGAGAACTCAAAAGTACAAAAGATTGCTAAAAACTGTACTGGTTTCTGTTGGGTGAAGATTCTGGATAAACCCAAGTATTGAAGAAGTTGTTTAGATGAGAAACTGCAGTTTTTCTTTCTTTCTTTTTTGTAGGGTTATAAGAAATGATTCATGTGGTGAAAAAGAAAGTCTATTTTTATGCTAGTCACAAAAAGTGGGAAAACTATTTTTCTGCATGCCAAGTTTGTTATTTGTCCATTTTGAATGTGTGTTAGCAAATGATGGCTTAGCCATAGTAATTTTTTTATATTGTTAAAATCTCCAGTGCAGCATTTAATATATTCATTGTATTGAGGCATAAATATTACAAAATATTTACAAATAATGTAAATGTGTGATTGTACAGTATGAAATACTGATTATGTAACTGTAATTTATTTTGTACATTTCCTTCTTCAGAGTATTCAATACTCAAGTATTAGTATAATGTAGTAACTTGTACAGCTGTAGGTCACTAAATAGTTTCAATATATAAATCAATTTTTGTTTAATTATTCATAACGACAATTGACTTCAATAACTGATCTATTTTTGAGAACAAGCTGATATGTGATGTGAGTTTTTATCTCGAGCAATAAAAATTAATTTATGGAGTTTGCCAATTTCAATGCAGTGTAAGATTCTCTGAATTATTTGATTGTTAGCAACTCCATTTGTATGTAGAATCTGTATTGTGTTGCTTAAATATTTTACTAATGCTATTTCTTTTCTTCCAACTTTATCACAAAAATATTCTACCATCTGAATCAGTTCAGTTTGTTTTTCTGGTAGACTAAATGTATATTAAACAGGATAATTAATTGCTAGCAATTTTAAATGATAAAATCTCTGAATACAAAAAACTCTTGTCATTGTGTACATTCATGTTTTGGGAAATCTCTACCACCTATTCTTGCATGCCAACTATTCATCAGTCAGGGTATTAATTTCTGTGTTAAATGAAATTGTTGTGAGATGCTTTTTGGATGCTACTTGAATTTCCGTCTAATTATTATTTTCCTCCGCTTGATGTCTTCAGAATTTTTCAAGTCTAGTTTTCAGAAAACTCTTCAGTTTTCTGAAGTGCAGAATATTTTCTGAAATAAAAACAAGGAGAGTCTCTGAAGGAACATTTCCTCATTTGTGGCCCGTTTAAGAATGTACATAGCCTTTTAGTGTATAATATGATCATGCAAAATTTTACTGACTCATTAGTTAATATTGTATAATAAGAACATAATTGTCTTTACTTGACAAGCACTTTCAATATTTTTCATTTTGAATATTGTTAATACATTTTCATTTATATGTGCTACACTTTTTTCTTCGGATTAAATCCAAGAGAATAGTGATCAGGGGTAAAGGGAATTTTTTTTCCATAATCGCATTGTGTAGCATATCAGGGCTTTCTCAAAGTGAATTTGAATATAATCTCAGATGTAGAGTAAATGTGTTTGGCAGAAACAAATTGTGAAGTTAGAATGTGTATTGTTATTGTTGTCTAGAAATTATTAAATGCATTGTAATTGGCATTGACACATTTTTTAATAATTTCTGTGGTCTTAAGGATTTATTTGCCTTGAGAACTATAAACAATCCCTTGATTTTATTCTTTTTTTCTGCTGTCTTATTCTTTAATGAATTAAACTGTATTATTCAATGCACATGTATAAGTAATATTATGAAATTGCATCACTCTTGAGATTGTCTTATGACTATAAAAGTACTCGCAATACACATTAAATGTGTCGAAATAAAAATCATTGAGCTAAATATATAATTTTTAAGTAGTTTTAATAACATGTTGAAAGTTAACCCAGGATATTATGGTTCTTATTTGTTTATAAATTTGTACTGCTTAAGGAGGGAAATTATATCTTTGATTACTAAACTTAAATGAATTCAGGCTAGACTGATTCTGATTGAGGTGGCGAAGTGTTGAAAATGTTTCCATAAATAAATACTATGTGATATTTCTATTAGTACTTGTTTCTGCTCACTGGTTTTGTTTTATTGCCTTTTTGATGTAGGAATCATTACTTAATGAAATTGAATTTAAACTTTTAAACAAATTATTTGTTAATATACCAACAATCATTACAAAAAATTTATTTGCTTCAATTATAGTAACCAAAGAGTTGCATTAAGCACTATTGTATCGCTTTTAAAAAGTTACACCCCACTGCTTCATCTATCATTTGTCAGTAGTATCTGAATATTCCAAATATGGCTTGCATCTGAAAGGAAGTAAAATGATGTTAAAAAAGACTTGTTGAAAAAATCGTATTTCTTATAGTTAAAATGTTCTTTGCTCATAAGTTAGGTCAGCCTGAACAATTGGATTTGTGATTTGGTGTATACAACTGAAACTTTTGCCATTTCAATGCAATCTCCATACTTTGTCAGATTAGAGGGATAAATTGATATTTGTATATTACCAGGTACTTCTCTAAACATTTCCACAAACATCTTGTGGGAATTAATCAAACACAGTGGTTTGTTTCTGTAAAGACGGATGGCAGTGAAATGTTCAGTGTTTAATTCTATTCTTATTCAGATGGGGGCAATAATTAGAAATACATGTGCTTCAAACAAATAACTTTTGTGGGAGTAGGTTAATCATTCTTTGCACCAATATTAGTGTATTTTAGAGTAAAAAATAAATATTAGAAGCAAAGCAGGTTCTCAAGGTGCAAAAGTACAAAACTTTTCACTCACTTGAGACCAAAATAATGCTTCCTTTTTCAGAATCAATCTAAAGTTTTTCCAAAGTACCTTAAAAGGAAAAAAAATATGCAAACAATTTTAAATGCTAATATTGTTTTCAAAAAAGACTGTAAAGGGTACTAGAATGTGTGATCACTTGAGTGAAAGATCCTGTTTTTGCCATTGTGGGTACAGAATGCGTTATATAATGTTTCAATTGTACTTTTAGTAAATTTATGTAAAGGAATGTATCTTAATTCAGGTACAATGTTCATGCAAAGTTACAGTATTAATAGCACTTTATTTGGAATTAGTATTAACAAACTTGATGTCTCTGTGAGTTTACATTTTGAGAGGTTAGTCCTGCTTTGAGCAAACTAAGGAAATGTGGTCAATTGTGTTTTCATTCTATTGTACATAATTCGTTACATCACTAAATAATGTTAAATTCTCAAAGCCTTTTTCAAGTTCATACAATTCTCACAAGTCTCACTAGGCATTATTGTTTAATTTTTTAAAATTATTATTTTGTCATTTAAACCGTGTACAAATCATTAGCCAAAATGGCAAACTACAAGCTTGTGCTTTTGGCACTTCTGTTTTTATGATGTTTTGGAATGTTCCATTTGTATTCTTCTGCCCTGAATCCACTTATTCACTGACAGACCTAACACATGGTTAAATGAGTTGTTAAAACTTTCACAATAGTGAGACTAATTAAATTATTTTTATAAAGAAAGAAAAAAGAAATTTTATTGTGCATATCCTGTCCTATATTAATCCTTTTTGCATTATTATTTTTATACAATCTCAAAAAGTGTAAAATATTACATCAACAGTTTTATTCCTATTTTTTCTTTATTGAACTACTTGAAATTTTAATACAACAAAATAATCTCAAATAGAGAATACTGTTCAATGAAAAAGGGAATACAGTTTCCATTTAGTATGTTTTGTTGCTGATGCTAATAAAGCTTTGCAACTGTGGCAAGATTGAATATGATTATCTCGATCAGTTTTTTCAAGTTTCCTTTAATCCATTGAGCGAATGCTGAGATGATCCCTTGTTTGCTTCTGAATGTAAATCTAGCTTCACTACATGTATGAGCTCCCATTTTGCTAGTTGCAGGAGTTGAAGGGTGTTTCATCAGAAATATTAAATAGTCAAATCTGTAGTTTGTTGATAAAAAACTTTTTCTATTAAAGGCAGAAATTTCTATTTTTAATTGTCAAATACAGTTTGGGCCTTCATTTATTCATCCTTCAACTCTGGAGAGTAAATAAGTCGGGGTAGAGTATCTACAACTTGGGAAAATATTGCACAAATTATACTACCCCCCCCCCTCCATCAAGTGCAATTTTTCTATTTTTATGATAAATCAGAAACCAATAGCACAGGTAGCTGCAAACTTAACGGGGTTTGTAAACGTTGACATATAATATAGATGGGACTGCGCTGCACCTATCATAAAAATCTTGGGTTTTCACATTAATTTCAGCCAAATTTTTCTAGAAGTAAATTGCATAAGGTGTGTATGTTAGACTTTTGATTGTCTTTCAAATTTCTGAAGAGTTTACCAAATCCAAATAATCATCAAATAAAAACAAAATGCATAATATCAATTTGTTTTCTTCCTAGTGAGAATATAATTACAGAGGTTTGCAATTTATTAGAGGAGAGAAGAGTATAAAAAAAAATTATGTATATAAAAGCTGCAAAATTTTTCTACGAGATTTTTCCTTTAAATAAAATTTGTTATCTATAGTGAGTTCTTTCACTATAGAGAACAAATTTTCAAGGTTAAGTACATTTTTTGAAAATTGTAGTATTTCTCGTGCAATATGTGCAATTTTTTAAAAAGAATCACAAAAACAAGATTTTCTTAAAAACTGTTCCAATTTTTTTCTTTGAACTTGGTAGGGATTGTACTAAATGTTCTCAATAACATGACATAACGCCATATTTTTCTATTGTGCTTTTTCAAAAATTACAAAAACTAAACTTTTTTGATTTGTCTCTCACGTCGTTAGTATATATATTAGCCATAATTTGTTCACATTATTGTATTTTATGAGTACATGTGCTTTAAACAATATCATGTAATGTATCTCGAAAACTCAACTGTTTTATGTGAAAACTAGCTCGAAATTCCGTGTTTTCAAAAAAAAGGTTAAACTCCATTTTCCCAAAAACAGCTCCAAATCATTTCTTCAAACTTTTCGAACAGGTAATGCTAATTGCATGCAAAGTTCATTTTCGTGTATTTTTTTTCTTCAAAAATTAAACAAATGTAATTTGAAAGATTTTTCACGCCGTTAATATACACATTTCCAGCAGTTTGTAATCACTATTGTATTTGTGAGTTAAAGTAATTCAAATGACGCCAATTGAAGTTTTTTAAAAACTTAAAACTTTTCTGAGAAAAAGTGCTGTAAATTTCGATTTTACTCTAGCGCTTGAGCGCCATTTTCTTAAAAACGTCTCCAAGTTTTTCAAAGAAAATTGCCATTTAGGACGGGGGTTTACTATTCTTTAATATTCTTAAAATAATATTTACTTTCTACTATTAGGAAACCGAAAAATTAAGACAATTTTCAAAAAGTTCACTTTGGGTGGCGATAGATGGCAGCAAGAATATGCGGCAAATTCAAATAGCTAGCCGACCCCCCCCCCCCAAAAAAAAAGAAAGTAATACGGGAAAATCCGTGTCATTCTGTAGCATCACTAGTTTGATTAGATTTTGCTGACGGATACCGCAAAGGACGTTTAAGTGAATGGTGTAGGTATCATTTTCGTTTATATTCCCGGTTTTTCAAAAATTGCAAAAGTTCAGTTTTTCAGCAATTTTCTTTCTACAAATAAAATATAGAAGATCGATTTTTTGTTCGTTAAACACAGATTTTGAAATAAGATCATGTACAATTTTTGGGAAATTTGAGTAGTTTTCTTGTAATACTGTGTGAAGTATTGTCAATTTTCATTTTTTAAACAATTTTTTTCTTTAAATTTTCCTCCGCTTTTTCCTTAAATTTTCTCCTCGTATGTACCTGGTACCCTCGTATGTACACGGTAAGAAGAGTGTTGCTAGTCTATTTTTTGCCTAAGTCAGTATTTTCGAAATTTGCAGAAAATTTTAACATGCAAAAATTTCAAAATTGAAGATAGATATTTTTTTATTTAAGCAACATCAGTTCTAAAAAAATCAGCTCTTTAAAGAAGTCATGAATTTTTTTTAAAGTAATTTTTGCGTTATTCGAAGGAAATTAATGAAATATAACGAGTGATCCATAAAAAACCGGTTTTGGGAATATCTCGAAAAGAGTGCATCGGATCAAGAAAAGTGAAAGTTGTTCGTATCGATGAGGCCCATCCAATGATGCCAAACTTGACCCCGTGCTCCTACCCCCCGGGGGTGAGGGTAGGGAAAATAAAAATAATTAAATGGGAATATTCACTTTTATTGCAAATACTTACTAAACGGCATGGCGGGAACATATTTTCAAGCAATTCTGATATTTATAATTACAACACACGTCATTGAAATCATATTCATCAGGTGTCATGATCAACAGCTAATAACAAGAAATTCACATATAATACATTGCCAGTTGACATTACAGAATTAAAATGATACACATTTGACTACAAAGTAAACTATTTTCTGCTGCATAACTGTTTCTATACAATCAGACACTATACTGAACATCAAAGAGAAAAATTATATGTATTTTAACATTGTTGTTCATTAGTTTACATTTGGATTGTATAATTTGAAACTAATGGTGCTACAAAGTGGCACAAACCATCTCCTACAAAATTAATTTTCTAATTTCTTTGGTTTGGGCTAGGTTTTCGGTTTTGCCCACCTCCTCCCAGCCGCCATCTATCGCTGCCCAAAGTACATTTAAAAAAAAGTTTTCTGTTTTTCGGTTTTCTAACGGTAGAACCGAAATATTTCTTTAAAAATATTAAAGAAAAGTACATCGTGAGGAAATTTCAGTTGAAAAATTTTAAGCCGTTTTTGAGAAAATGTCGTTTATACGACATTTGAAGCTCTTTTTCATAGAAAAATTTTGAGTTTCCGGTAAACTTAATTGGAAAACAATTGAAGCACTTTTACTCACAAATGCAATAATGTATTCAAATCGCTGGTAATGTATATATTATCGTTGTGAAAGACATTTCAAACTTTTTACAGTTGTTCAATTTTTGACAAGAAAACAATACATCAATTTGCATTTCCATCATGTTATTTAGTCCATGTAGCACTATTAGTTCAAACAATTTAAAAAACACATTTGAACCCGTTTACGAGAAAATGGCGTATGACCGTTTCTAAAAATGCGTAATTTGTAGCTCATTTTTACTGTAAAGTAATGATTTTTCGAGAGACTTTGTAAAACATAATTTGAAGCCCATGTACTCATAAATGCAGTAATGTTTACAAATTGCCGGCTTTGAAAATATTAGCGATGTGTGTGTAAGAGAGAGAAGCAATAAAATTGCATTTTTGTACTTTAAAAAAATACAGCAAAATCAAGTTTATGCTGTTTTTTTACATACATTTAGCATCCGCACAAAAAGTTTAAAGAAAAAAATATGGAGCCGTTTTTGAGAAATTCGATATTTTTGATATTGTTTTAATATTGCCAATATTATACCCAAAACTACACAAAAACTTAAAATTTAAAAAAGGTCATAATGATGTTCTTTGTGATGAAACAACTAATCATGGAGAACAAATTAAATTTGAAGAAAAAATCTCCATCTTCAATATTGTAGCTGTAGGACTTCACCGAAAAAATCAAACTTTGGCATCTTTCTAATATTCAGAATTAACAATGAAACATCGTATCTATGCTATCTTTATAAATGTATTTCACAATATTATTATAAGAAATTCAAAGACAAAAATTTGAACTGTTTTTTAGAAAATTTTGAAAATGTCGCAGGGGTGTCACGTAAAGTACTCCCAAAATTTTAAGAGTGTTTCTCAAAATCTCCTCCTTGAGAGTGCATGACCTTGACGGCGTGGGAGCTTGAGAGCTATTCCAGCGGTAGTATAACTACTGGTAGGGCCTTCCTTACCGGACAGGTCGATGGGAGAGGGGTCAGACGTAGAAATACTCCATTAGAAGATCTGTCAGAAAGGGACCTGAAAGGCAGGTCCGACGAAGACCTTTGCCACGGTGAAGAGAGCCAAACATTCTCATCGCATGTATCGCGCTCGTTATTAATTCATGATTATATGGACTTTAAACATTATTCAACCGTATGGCTTTGATAAAGTTCGCAAGCTTGCGGAATGTCTTCTCGGTTTATAAGATGACACGTCTTCTCCAAAAGGGGATGTCCTGGATCCTCCTATGGTGCACCTTGTTCCAAGATTCCTTCCGCGGGGTTACGTGCGAAGACTTCGACGGTCGGAGCATCAGCGATGAAACTGGCGCGAGAGCGGAAGAAGCAACCCTTTTCATGGGGTAAGAACAGGTAATGGGTTAGATAGGGATCTCCAGACTTGGCTGGCAACCTGCCTAGAGGAAGTACACCATAATATAAAACTGCAAGCCTAGAGGCACAAAGGTACTAGTCCCATCAGGATATCTATAGGTCAGTAGCTATAGATACAATAAGCACCATTATAGTAGCACCATAATAAGTTAAATTTTAAAATAATTGCACTTTCACACACATAGACCATGTTATACGTTAATTAAAAA